ATACCCGGGAAACTCACTCTCAATCAACTCTCCCTGTCCACTCTTCGTGTATCCATTGCCGCCAAACAGCAGTTGCGCCGTTTGTGCGCATTCGTTCAGGACGATGCCACTCTGTGCTTTGACCATGGCGGTCAGGCCACCCAACTCGATGTCTGCTGACGCCTTTGGTAGGTGCACCATTTGGTATACGAATTGCTCAACCCATGCCCATTGTGACTCTAGCAGCGCACCGGCTTTTGCCAGACGGTGGCGTACGACGGGTTGTTCGACGAGTGGTTTGCCGAAAGCCTCGCGCTTGAGGACGTATTCCATTGCGGCGGATAGGGCGACACGCGCTTGACGGGTTGCGCCGATGGCGATGCTGAGTCGTTCGTGGTTGAAGTTGGTCATGCTGTTAAGTTTGCCGTTAGCTGGAGTACCTCTTGAGACTGTTGTTATCTTACATGTACTTCATGCCCATACCCTCTTCTCCGATGAGATTCTCAACTGGCACTTTGACGTCGTCGAGTTCTATGAAGGTAGTTCCTGCACTGACTTGACCACCAACTTTCAGTCTGCGCATGTTTACTCCTGGGTTTCCTAACAAAGGCACGACCAACATGGACAGACCTGTGGGTCCAGGGCCACCGGTCCTAACAGCCATCGAAGAGTAACTTGACCAAATTCCGTTTGTGATCCACTTCTTGGTTCCGTTGACGATGTAGTGCTTTCCGTCGGGTGTCTTTGTAGCGGTCGTTGTGATGTTTGCGACGTCTGATCCGGCTTCGGGTTCGGTAATGGCAATGCAAGTTCGCTTCTTGCCGGTAAGGAGTTCGGGGAGGTAGCGCTCTTGGAGCTGCCTGCTGCCGTATTTGATAATGGGCGGTACACCGAAGGACATTCCTGTGGTAAGAGACCCAGCCGGTCCTGCAAGGCCGGTTCGCGCCATCTGGTACGGCTGTTAGTTGCGCTCAAACTGGGTGTTGGGAAATCCTACCTCATCGGCGTAGATCATGGTATGAATATAATCCCATTCCTCGACCTTGACGACACCCAGGATGTCATGAATTCCGAGCTTCTTCAGCCATTCCACTGGCAACGGGGCAGGTAGTGTCGGTAGCAGCATGCCTGCTTTCGCGAACGTCTCAAAGACATGCTCAGGCACAGTCTCCTCCGTATCCCATGCTAGAGAATTCTCCAGGAGATGCTCGTCCACGAATTTGCGACACGCTTTCTGCCATCTCAGATGCGTCTCCTTGTAGTATGGAGATGGTAGGCCGACGATGTAGGGCGGTTCGGAGAACGGGACGAAAGCTGTGGAAGACATTGCGATGTTGTCGAGGCGAGCCGAAGGTAGAGTAGAAGATGCGAGCGACGGGGCTCTGCTGCGTGTAGACTACATGATGGTGTTGCGCTCGGTATATGGAGAGGAGAAGTGGAGTCCGGGGTAGCTTCAGGCCAGCCGAGGTTCGCCAGGATTACACGCTTCTGACATGTCATGAACCGACGACTACCAGATCGAGGCGCAAGCCACGCTCCTTGGCCTGGGAAATCTAGACAGTCGCAATTGCCACTAAAGGAACAAAAGAAAAGTCTATTTCGGTCTGCGCTTACATACGAATTTCGGTTCCGAGGGCTTGGACATTGGTGTTGCGCGCTGGTTGGCATATAGTCCGAATTAGGCAAGTTGTCAAAAACCGTCGATTGCAAGCGTCTAGAGAATTACAACAGGTCATCTGTACAGCGATTGACACTGTGCAGGTATGTAGGTAGGCATGAATGCTTCAGAGTACAGATCTCGGATGCTGCGACCTCCACCAATCAAGCACGGAGACTATATCATGTCAAGCTGGCACGCATCGCGTACAACATAAAATTCGTTTCCAGTTTATGCCATTTCTCACTCCAGTTTATGCAGTGTCGACTCAATTACCAGATCCCGGATTGGGGTATCAGTCGAATAGTCTCGAGTATGCTGACTGGCCATCACTACAATCACTTCGTACAGCATGAGCATCAACTGTCGAATACTGATACTTTTCATACTCGTCGAAGCAGACCATTGCTGCTGATATCAGAACGTACATCAAACATATGGTAATTCAAAGATCGTAGAAACTGTTGGTATTCTAGCTATTTTTTGAACGCACTCTACGAGGTGATTATGGTACATACTCTCAAGCTAAGGGTGTAATGGTAACGTAGCCGAGTAATCGAATGCATGTCAGAAACAAGGTACCGTAACTTACTCACATGTAGTTCCAGTTGTTGACTGACTGGGCACGAGGGAAAGTCGCCTGTATCCTACGAGACGGGTGTATCAGCGAGAACTTCTAATCCTCCTCAATTTCACCTTCCTCGCTTCCACTACGGAGGGCGCGGTCTTCTTCTTCCTTCTTGATGGTGCTGGCTGCCTCAGGAACAGGCGTCTTGGACTTGCGGTCAGGGCGTGGAGAGTAGCGAGCACGCTGTGACGAGGTTAGTGTCGTGTTCTCAATATATATGGGGCGTAATTTTGCGGACCTTTGTCTCACGATCGCGTTTGGAAGAGCTCTCGTCGCTTTCCCGACGGCGTCGAGCAGACGACGTGCGACCACCGCTGTCACCGTAGTCTAGCAGACTAACGGTGGCCTCACGAGGGTCGGCCCTGCTGACATAGGATCGCTCACGCTCGGCTTCACGCTCGCGACGCTCACGTACGTAGTGATCACCGCCAGGGCTGCGACGAGAACGCTCGTAACGATCGTCGTCTCGGCGCTCACGGCGCGGGGGAGGAGACAAGCCTGTACTGTCGTTGTTCCTGTAGCGCGCCTCCCTGTCCTGCACCGCACGACGGCGCTCTGCAGCATACGGGTCATGTTCAGGTGAGCGGGTTCGTGTACGATGACGACGATGGGAGTCAGAATGACCATTGCGATACTCACGATCTCGGTCACGCCTGTCCCTACTACGGTCACGGCCATCGCGCCTGCTTCGGTCTCTGCGATCGCTCTCCTTCTCCTTCAAGCGGGACATGAACTTGTCGAAAGCCGATTCGCGGAGGGTATCTGATTTCAGTGCGCGATACTCGTCTGTCTTTTCAACGCGGGGACGTACCACTTCCCAGGTGTCTGACAGCGACACCGGCGGATCAAGATGCTTGATGACTGACCGAAGCTTGTCCACAGTGGAGCGCTCATTGTACTCTTCGTCTTGGCGGTCTTGCTCCTCGCGCTTCTTGACCTTCGCAAGGACGTAGTTGTATATGCTATGCATGGACTGTTCGTCAATATCAGCGGTGCGAGGATCTTTTCGCATAACGTTAAGGAAGTCTTCCACAGGGGTCGACGTGGTAACCTCGAAGCGTTGTTGCTAGTCGCACAGTTAGTCCAGTTCTAGTGGGGGGTTGGGGTTCAACATACCTCCAGTACATCAAGCGCCCTTCGGCGCAGGGTGCGGAACTTGCCCTCTTCCTCCTCCAGAGCATCACGGAATAGATCGAGTGGCGAGGATCCGCCCTGCCCAAGCATGGCCGTGTAGCGCGGTTCGTTCTCGATGTGACTGTGGATGTCCTTCCACTTGGTACCAGCGCGAAGCAGACCGTTCCTCCTAAGCTCGTCTAGAAGCTCGAGGAAAGCATCACGGTTCTTGCGCTCGACGCGGTGCTTCTTGCGTCGCTCAGCTTGGACTTTATCGTTGTGCTCGCGCTGGAGCTGCCTGATGTGCTTCTCGAATTGGTTCAAGACATCCATTCGAGTCAGAGTTTCGAACTTCTCGCTGTTGAACTCGTTGTTCTGCTCCAACTTTTCTTCAGCTGCCTGCCAACGCGTGAACGGCTCCAGGTCCAAGCCCTTCAGCAGACCCATGACCTCGTCGAGTGCAGAACGCCTGCTCTCTGCCTCTTCCTCTTCGTGCGCCTTCTTCAAGGAGATGATGTATTCTTCAAATAGAGCCCTTCTCTCGTTGTCGTCCTTGGCTGAGCGGAAGATGGTTTCCTCTTCGATGATGGGCAGAGCTGTCTTCCAGCGTGTGTAGTACTTGATCTCGGGGTGCGAGCGCAGCATGGCGGTGAAGTCGGATCGTAGCTTGGCCTGGCGATCCTGCTCCTTGTGCTTCTCCTGGGCGCGCAAGTCTTCGCAGTACTTCTTGAAGGCCTCCTCGCGCTTCTCCGGCTCGGGAATGGCGCGCCAGTTGGGATCGTGGATACCGGCGCGGACGGCCTGCTGCCAGGTCCAGTCGGGCTGGACCTTCATCTGCCTGAGCACCTTCATGAAAGCAGCCTCGGCTTCCTGCGGAGTGGAGAACTGCAGCTCGGTGCCGGTCGTGAAGCTGATGTTGGGGCGGTCGCCGCCAAAGCCAGATTCCCGGTCGCGCTCGCGATCGCGGTCACGGTCATCGCGGCGGTCGTGTCGGTCGGGGCGGTACTCGTCTCGTTCGGGGCGTCTGTTGTCGTATGAAGGCGCGTTCGAGGCTGGTCCCGTTGGCCATCCCGCAGGACCGGCAGGGGGCGGGCGCTGGTTCTGCAGACTCTGCCTGTACTCGTCGATCTTCTTCTGGACCACCTCGGGAATCTCCCACGTAGTCTCGCTCGTGCCAGTCTTTGCGTAGTATCGCTTGCCGCTTGCTACGTGCGCAGTCCAGCCGGTGCCGGGAATTGCGCGCTTCTTAGCGTCAGTAATGTCTCGCTGTCGAATGATCATGAGATCAAGTACCTCTACATCGTCCTTGAGCTCGTCGGGCTTTTCCCACGTGGTTTGGTTGGTGGCTTTGTTGAAGTAGTACTCCTTGCCATCGGCTGCTGTCGCGACTGACCATACAGAAGCTTGAGCCATTGGCGGCGCGTAGGGTGGGCCGTTCATTGCGCCGGTTGTCGATGGTTGCGCGTGGGGATGGATAAAGTCAGAACGCCTGTCTGCAAAGAAGTTGTGGAACTTGTTGGCGCACGGACGGTTTGGGTAGCGCGAAAGCAGGACCCCTAGTTCAGGCACCACATTCACGTGTGCCTTCACATCTACCTTCACCTCGATAGTCCTGTGGAAATCATGGCAGACGATGAGGTGATACCACGCAGGAGCCTCGAGTTTGCCGAGAGCTCCGTGCTGGAAGCTGTGGTGCCTGCGAGTTCCGACATCGACATCAAGAGCGAGATCGACTCTTGGGATGGTGCAGCAGACGACAATGGTTCCATATTGCCGTTCCTAGCACAACGAAATGTGCTACTTCTCGGTACGTCTCCAACAATCCCATACAATTAGCACGTCTCTTACTCATGCACAGGCGTTTAGATGAACTCCTAGCCGTATATGTTGTTTTCCAAACACCGCTGTTAGACGAAGCGACCTTGAAGTCGTACCTTGCAAGACTGGTGATCAACGTAGAGGCCTTCGCATTCAGTACGGTTCCCCCATCTGATCAAGATCCAAAATCTACGCCTCCCAAAGAAGTCATCTTCTCAGGTACCATCAATCACACAGATGAACCTACGGTTGTCAACCATGGTGAAGGGGACAGTGCTCATACCTATGTTATCTGGAAGGTGGATGTTTTCATAGGTGAGACAATCAGCCAATCTCTCATAGATCGTATCTAATCAACAGCAGCTCGCCCACAAGGCAGATTTCATAAGCCTGCAGTGTACTTCCAACCCACGGCCTCCTTCAAGCCAGAAGAAAAGCCTCAAAAAGACGCGTCAGAGGATGACTATCTCCCAAGTGGCGTGCCCACACCCTTAAACCTGCTGCAGTCATTCGAGAATGATCCCGCTCTTGTCGGTGTCCATCCACGACTCTCAGCAATGCGTATCAGCAAGGTCACTCCAACTGCCCCTGCTGCAAAGGAAATGGCTCGACCGATTCGAAACGGACAAAGACCACTATTTCGTGTGCTGCCGCCTTTGATATGGAGGATACGTTATTCGAGGATTCAAGCATCAATAAGCGACCTGTCTTTGATGGCCTCTCTAGATCTGGAAGTCGCTCAATTCGCTACCTACGACGTCAGAATCAAAAAGGTCAGCCTGGCTTTGCATGGAGGCAAGGTTCAAGAGTTGAACGAAGAGCTGGATACCACGACGAGCCACAAACCTGGTGATCAGCTAACGTTTCTGTACAAGATCCGGCCTGATATTGGTACCGATGGAACACCAGCACTCGGGAGTAAGGGTCACTACTTGACCTTAAATGTGGACGCCAATGTTACAATGTCCGATCATTGCCACCCAGACATTGCTATTGAGTGGAAGACACCCGTTGACTTTCCGTCAGAACAGGCACTCAACTTGGCCAAGCCTAGTCGGCCGAGTAGTTCTACAACACAGAGCGCGAACGCAGCCAATCCCGACGCCCTTGTCGCTCAAGATGCCCAAGATCAACCCGAACAGGATGCTTCACACAACGACGTCAATGTCACTCTGACAGTGTCTGGGCCGCCCAGTGTCAAGGTTGGCGAGATCTTCACGTGGGATGTGTTTATAGTCAACCGCTCGGACAAAACGCGAAGGCTGGCAGTTCTGGTCATCGCGAAAAGACCGAGAGACTCGGGGAAGCACAAATCGCATCCATCCGTCTCTTCCGTAGGCGGACCTCGAGCGGACAAGAAAGAGTTGTTTGGGACGGCGGTCGTTGACGAAAATGTCGTGTATGCTAAGCAAAAGAGTGCGAAGACCGATACAGCGGACTTGATCTGCTTGACAACCGACATACGGCTCGGGTAAGTCGGATTAAGCAGAAGGGTCATAGAACGAATGGCTAACATGATCAGGCAACTCTCACCCGGCTCCTGCTACACGGCCGACCTCAAGTTTCTTGCGCTTTCAGCAGGAGTATTGTTCGTGGAATCGATACGAGTCGTTGATCTGGTCAGCAACGAAGCTGTCGATATTCATGATTTACCAAGTATTGTTGCTGTAGCCTCGTGAGCTCGCAACACTTCCTATAGCTTAGACTATCTTCAGTCAATGAAGCGTGCGATGCAGATAGTGTGTCACCCTTTTATGTTGCGCCGTTACTTGTAGTAGACCATGGACGGGGTCGTGCTTGTGACGCCGAGACACACTGTGGAGCTCAGCAGGCGCTCAGCAGAGTGGAGCACAGATGCCACCACCGGATTTGGTCCACGAGAAAGTGCTAGACATCCGGGCTCCCAAGTTTACGTCTTGGACATAGCTCGATGGTACGAGCCATAGGCGCGCGGAACTAGGCTGATGCCAGCCGTCGCTTGATGTCTGAAACTCGTCATTGGTCCCGGCGTGAAACTCTCGCCACTGTTGCAGCACCTCCGCACTGAACCCTGGGCTGCGGCTGCGCATCGCATGCCTCTGCTACACTTCCTACCACAAACCGCTCTTAATCACGATAGTATTGTCGCCTGCCCTATTTCCTTATCGCGCTTTTGAGCCGCAACAGATAGGACCACTTATAGCCGCACACGGGCCTGCGGCTACGTTTCATCAACGTCATCGCGATCTTCGAGCAACGCTACACCTAGAGCTTTTCACAGGACCCATACTAAACATGAACAGCACCAGACACAGACTGCTTTACCAGCTAAACAGCCGCTGGATTTACGGGAAGATTGTGAGTCACTGATACTGATACTATTTGATGGTCGACTAATTATTTCCAGCCGCTGCTGCATTCGATAGTATTCCTGCTCCAAATGGCGGCCGTCAGCATGCTCACGCGCAAGTACAACCAGTACTATGCGGCGCGTCCAGTTCTCACCACGATGATCACCAACGCCGTACGTGCACCCTTGCTATAAACGCCATGCGCATCGAGTGGCATGTCGCGCGACCGCCACACCGACTATTGCGACCTCTGCGCCGAAGCCGACATATTTCAGACATGACCAGATAGAGAGGCTGACACTATCTACAGGTGTTGGGTGGTATCGCGGACACAGTAGCCCAGACGCTCACTGCCGTGCGGGAGCGCGCAGTACGCAAGAAGGGCGGCCCAGGCAAGGACGACTTCCTGGCGATTGAAATCCACGAGCTCGACAGACGGAACCCGTTCAACGAGAACGACCTTATCCCCGACTCGAAGATACTCCCCCCGCCTTTCGACTTCGAGCGAACCACGAGATTCATGTCCTACGGTTTCCTCATGTCGCCCATTCAACACAGGTGGTTCGGCTTCCTGTCCAGGACTTTCCCCGTTTCAAAGACTGCGACATGGTTGCCAGCACTCAAGCGCGTGGCTTTTGATCAGTTCCTGTTCGCCCCAGCTGGTCTGGCTGCCTTCTTTACCTTCATGACTGTTGCCGAGGGTGGTGGTAAGCGTGCTGTGCAGCGCAAGTTCCAGGACGTATACGTGCCTGCGCTCAAGGCCAACTACATGGTCTGGCCGGCTGTGCAGCTCATCAACTTCCGAGTCATGCCCATTCAATTCCAGATTGTAAGTATCTTGCTCTAGGTTATAATGCTAGCCACTAACGCATGCCAGCCATTTGTATCTACCGTGGGTATTGCTTGGACAGCTTACCTCTCTTTGACGAACTCGGCCGACGAAGCCTAAGCCTATCAAATTATGCGAACGAATTCTCATGTTTAAATATCATACGCACACATAAGTTCGGGTCATGGTGGCATCGGGTGATTCCCCCTGAGCGTCTCGCGCGTTAGCATGTTTGGTTGGGCATTTGCACGGCGTCAGGTTAGTTGACTTTGATACGGTCGATGTGTTATGTACAGTCTTGAATTTGATACAGAATGAAACTATCATCATGCACAAATATTGTTCGCCTTGCGTGTATGCTTGGATTGTGTGTTTTACCAAGTCTCTTCATGTGGAGAGATCATGCAAGACGCGTTGCAACGATACCCCAACACCACTGAGTACTCTCGGCCGCGGGGGATGTCGACCTTGGCTGCCCACTTTGTCAAGCCCCAAGACGCGCGGGCAGCAAAATGTGTTTTACATCAGCTAATTTCTCTAGTCCGGTCACGTCAACTTGCTTTTTTGTGGTTCGATAAGGAGCGCGAAGCTTTGCATGCAGGAGAACCCGTGGATTGCCCCGCTACACCCCACCAAGCCTGCCCATGACGATCTGAAGCTCGACAACAAACATTGAACACCTCCCACGCTTCTTCCTTTCTCCAACTCATTGACGTAAGTGGACCTTTACCTGAGGTATATAGCTGGCAGTTGTATACTTCGATTGATGCAACTAGAACTTCATTATACTCACACCATCACAGTACTACCATACACCCACCATGTCTCTCTCTAATAAGCTGTCAATCGCCGACGTCGACCTCAAGGGCAAGCGCGTCCTCATCCGAGTGAGTATATACAGAACTTTGGTGTGAAATGCAAACACAAATCTAACCGCGACACACCAGGTCGACTTCAACGTCCCTCTCGACTCCGACAAGAACATCACCAACAACCAGCGCATAGTCGGCGCTCTCCCCACAATCAAGCACGCTGTGGACAATGGCGCCAAGGCTGTCATCCTCATGTCGCATCTCGGCCGCCCAGACGGAAAGCCAAACGCGAAGTACAGTCTCAAGCCGGTTGTTCCCGAACTCGAGAAGCTCCTCGGCAAGAGCGTAACTTTCACAGACGACTGCGTCGGCAAGTCGGTCGAGGACACCGTTAACGGCGCTAGTGGCGGCCAGGTCATCCTGCTGGAGAACTTGCGCTTCCACGCCGAGGAGGAGGGCAGCTACAAGGATGACGAGGGCAAGAAGCAGAAGGTTGACAAGAGCAAGGTCGAGGAGTTCAGGAAGGGCTTGACTGCTCTTGGTGACATTTACATCAGTGAGTGACTCCATAGTACTATGTGTAGGTGGAAAGTACTAATCAGTTACAGACGATGCCTTTGGCACTGCCCACCGCGCACACAGCTCCATGGTCGGCGTCGACCTCCCACAAAAGGCATCTGGCTTCCTTGTCAAGAAGGAGCTCGACTACTTTGCGCAAGCGCTCGAGGAGCCCAAGCGCCCCTTCCTCGCCATCCTCGGTGGTGCTAAGGTCTCCGACAAGATCCAGCTGATCGACAACCTGCTCGGCAAGGTCAACAGCCTCATCATCTGCGGAGGCATGTCATTCACCTTTAAGAAGACGCTCGAGGGTGTGAAGATCGGCGACAGCTTGTTCGACGAGGCCGGCAGCAAGACTGTCAAGGACCTTGTCGAGAAGGCGAAGAAGAACAACGTCAAGATTGTCTTGCCCGTTGACTACATCACCGCCGACAAGTTCGACAAGGATGCCAACACTGGCTATGCTGAGGACAAGGACGGTATTCCAGATGGCTGGATGGGTCTCGACTGTGGTGACAAGTCCATCAAGCTGTACAAGGAGGCCATTGGCGAGGCGCAGACCATCCTCTGGAACGGTCCCGCCGGTGTATTCGAGTTCGAGAAGTTCGCCAAGGGCACAAAGGCGACGCTCGATGCTGCCGTTGATGCTGCGCAGAGCGGCAAGATTGTCATCATCGGTGGTGGTGACACAGCCACTGTTGCTGCCAAGTACGGCGTAGAAGACAAGCTGTCCCACGTCTCGACTGGTGGTGGTGCGTCGCTCGAGCTGCTCGAGGGCAAGGACCTGCCCGGTGTATCCGCCCTGTCAAGTAAGTAAACCAGTCACTCATAGAAGTGAACGGCAGCTCAAGATGAGGGAAGGTATATCTTCGAAGTTATGATTGTAGCTATAGCTCTTTTCGGTTCAATAAAGATACCGCATTCCACCCCTTGGCCTATAGACGTGATGCGTGGAGTCTTTGGGCTCACTTTGTCAACCATGTATGTGTCTCGAGCTTGCCATGTTCTCATTCGTTTGAAGGGTCGTCATGTCTTCCGTTCGAATCGCGTCTGTTCGTGTCGACTATAAGTATCGCTCATTTGCCCAGCTTCTTAAGCTCCTCCCTGGTTGTTGTTAGCACCTATACATTTCCAGTAGATAAGTGTCCTACCTCAGCTGAACCGCAAAGTCGTCATTCGTGTCATCGTCGTCCCAGCTCTCTTCCCAGAGATGTGTGTTGCCGTTGGGGATCTGTGTCTCTTCCTCAGTCCAGTCTGCAGACACGTTAGCTTGATGCATCCTCCTTTAGCCATTGCAACATACCTTCTACGGGAAAGTCCTCAAACTCGTCATCCTCCTCTAGCTGTGTTGCGGGCTTCTTCTCGGGCGCCAGTGGTTGCTCGCCGTTCTTGGAGTCGCTGACGACGGCCTTCTTCATATCGTTGCTGCCTTGTGCTGAGCCGGACATCGTGGCGGTTTCGGGAGATGCGATCGGCGATGTGTTATGGTACGTTTGGGTGATTCGAGTTGCGATTACGCGGTGTTGTAGCTTTGGTGAGCTTTGGTGATGCGGCTCTAACAGCGGAGGAGCGGCGGCGGCGATTGTCCGCAAGGCTTAGCGCGACGTCACGTGGTGCACCTGGCAACTGGGTTCGCGGGGTACGAGTCCGTCCAGGTCGCTGCTTGGCTCCGAGAAAGTTCCATGTGATGCATGGTAGTGCTTTGCTGTCGTCGTTGCACCTCATTCATTCTTTTCAAGCCAAACCTGGAGTGCATTGGAGGGTAAAGTACGGATAATGAACATGACGTACACGTACTTTAGCTCCGAGTAGCCGGATGAAGCTGTAAGCACCGCCCGTCTGGTGGGCTTTAGTAGGTGTCTAGACACGCGCTCAGTGTCTTAGCTGGCGTATCCGCTTTACGCTGAGATTTGAACATACTTACTACCTCTCTTCATTCGATCTTTCTCGTGTCTCTCTTTCTCGGCCTCTTCTGGTTAACCTTTTTTCGACCAGTCTCTCCGCGGCGCGGGATTATTTATCCAGCATGTTCAAAGTCGGCGGTTGGCTCAAGGGCCATACGCCTGGGCATTCGAAGAGCTTAGATTCCTTGAGCGAAATGGCACAGAGTAAGTTCAAAAGCATGCATAGGTCAGGCAGGTACTAATACAACACAGTTGAGGATGCCATGAGCGGTACGAACTCCACCCAATACAGTGGCGCAGACAAGTCTAATCACACGCGAGCACAGCCGTCACCTATATCATGGCCGATGATATCGAAAGCGCCGAAGCACACCTTAGCAAAGGATCCAGTCCATTCCACCAGGTACACACCTACCTTCCAGCCCTCAGGCCCATACTTCGGTTCTAGTCTTATATCGTGTAGCTCGGAGCGGGTGTGTGTGTCTTCATACGGGCGACGTTGGGTTTCGAGCCGGAAATCGTACGCGAAGGTCTGATCGCATATTCAACATGATGTCAAGGAGATGCAGTGACTGACATGGTCGACAGCTGCCAATGCCCTATCAGTGGCCGAAAACTCCGCTTACGAACACCAACGCCGTGTTAGCAAGGATCCGAACGCGTATAAATCGGCTATATACCCTCCAGGCACCGAGTACGCGGTATGTCAGGCAGAGGCACAGCTGATGAGTGCTGTTGTCGGTGTGCTCAACGAGAGCTTGACGGAAGCGATCAAGAGTTTCTACAAATTGAGGAAAGCATACCTTGCGCTGGAGGGTGTGATGGAGAATGAAAAAAAGTTTCTGGCAGAGAGGAGCACGAGTAGCGTCAACTCGGTGGGATCGCGCCCCTCCTCAAAGGGCTCGGTTCGATCAAATGTGGCAGGCAATGCGATCAAGAGCTCCCAGGGTCCTGCGTCTACCGGGCCGTCCGCTGCAGCGTCGACTTCTAGTCTGAAGCAGACTACTACAGTGACTGGACCGGCTGCGAAGAAGGCCACAGATGACGATGATGACGACGTCGACTTCGTGGACGCTCCAGAAGATCATACTGGCGGTGAACCGCCTGTGGAATACATGGGGCATCTCAACGTCGCCGCTGACAAGGGTGCTACTGTCGAACTAGACAATGCTCAGAAGAAGGTGGATGTCGCGGCAAGTTCGGCACCAGGGCTTCCTACCACGAACGAAAACCCATCCAACTCGCTACCAGACGCTATCGAATATTTTGAGAAGCTTACCTTGAACGATGAGGGCGATGCCGATGCCGACATTGCGTCATTCAGCAATCACCCAGTCGATGTCTTTATCCTCTCCGGATCCAACTTCTGCTTCGGCATGCTGTTACTTATTCTTTCGTTCATCCCGCCGTCTTTTGCTGGATTGCTGAAGATCGTTGGCTTCAAGGGCGATAGGGAGCGAGGAATGCGAATGCTGTGGCAAGCGACTAAGTTCCACAACATCCATGGTGCCATGGCTGGAGTTGTGCTCATGGGATATATCAATGGCTTCACCAACTTCTGCGATATACTTCCTACGAAGGGCGAGGGAGCATACCCGAAGGAACGATGCCTGGCTTTGCTCCGCTACATGCGCGCAAGGTACCCCAAGAGTCATCTCTGGCTACTTGAGGAGTCCAGGATGCTCGCCTCGGAGAAGAAGTTGGAAGAGGCTGTTCAATTCATGCACGAAGTTGGCGAGTCGAAGCTAAAACAGCTTGAAGCGCTTACATGGTTTGAACGCAGCTTGAACAACATGTATATGCACGACTACGAAGCTACTGCTTTCGCTTTCGAGAAGTGCATTGGCCTCAACAACTGGAGCCATGCTTTGTACTACCATATCATCGCCGCCTCATACGTTGAACTCTACCGAAAACACAAGACAACTGATCCGACCAAAGCAAAGGAATACGGCACAAAGGCAGAGGAGTACATGAAGAAAGTCATGCCCAACGTCGGAAAGAAGAAGTTCATGGCCCGCCAACTCCCCTTCGACATCTTCGTCGCACGCAAGATCCAGAAATGGGAAGCACGCGCCAAAGAATGGAACTGCGACATCGTCGACGCCGTCGGTGTATCCCCACTCGAGGAAATGATCTACTTCTGGAACGGATACAAGCGCATGCGAGACGACCACCTCCAAGTCTCCCTCGCCAACCTGGCCTGGAGTGAATCACCAGCCAACCCACACTGGGACAAGGAGGGCGTAGACGAGAAATCCATTCTCCACGTCTTGCGCGCTGCTACACTCCGTAATATGGACCAAACAGCTGAAGCCAAGGTCATCCTAGAGAAAGAAGTCTTGCCTGTTGACAAACTACTCATCACTGGTAACTTCAAAGATAACTGGACAGCTCCCTGTGCGCGCTATGAGATGGCCGCGAATATCTGGCGCGAGGCTGATGCGGATGGGCATCCGGAGAAGAATCCGCAGATACTGGTGCAGTGCAAGGATTGGTTGGATGAGGTTACGAAGATGGGTGGGTTTGATTTGGATGCTAGGTATGTGACTTCTTGATCGATGTGTGTGGCAAGTGGCTAACGTATGGATAGGATTGGTATGAAGATTACGACGGGTAAGGAGACGCTGCGGAAGTTTGGGGTGCAGTGTTAAGTGTGGTGATGAGCAGGGACTTTGTGTGGTTTATGGGTATAGGGAATACATATAGATGGTAGAGACATAAATCAGTAGAACGGGATGGAGGAGCATAAGTACACAGTGCTCAATGCCCCAATCTTCGTTATGATGCGGTGTTCATAATTACTGATGGCCAAGTATCATGCCCGGCATTTATCCACAGTCTATAAGCTGCTCTACGAGAGGTGTCTCAGTTCCGTTCTTCATCTCCATGCTGAAACAGCCAGAAGTCGAGATCTACTAGTAGCACGTGGGCAGTGGCGTCTTCCTGAACGTGAAAGAAGCTCCAGAAGGAAGCAGATCGACAACTAGAAAAGATGCTGCCTCCCGTGTGTCCGAAGTACATGTCGCCTGAAAAGCTCATGTGCTCGACATGTCCGCTTCCTCCAGTATTCTGGCATGAGAGTCCCGAGCAGCTCTCAGACCCATCCCGTATCATACCCCCGTCGCGACTCTCAAGCCAATGTCTGAAACTCTGCCTCACAACCCTCTTTACTGTATTCGTTCGGCGACGGGCGCTGGGTATATAGAATAGAAGCGTATCTCAAAGGATAAATCATAAACTCACACTAGACACGTTAGCACAATTCCCTTTCTCGCATCATGGAATGCGCAGACATACCATCTAGATAATCCGCTGCAATCAACAGTTCCAGACACAGCTCTGGTGGGATATCCATATCCGACACGTCTTTGCTTTCCGCGTGCTTTTGGTTGTAGTACAGGTACTCGCAGACCTTCTCTAGCACCACACCACTAGATACCACTATTAGCCTCTTCTCTTAGGATATTTAATCTGGTGGAGATGTAGCGGGACGGAGCGAGAATGGGAGGGAGTCATGGTTGGAGTAGACGTACTTGATCGTAGGCAAGTCAACGCGATTCTGTGCGTTTTCCCGGAAGCCAGCTATTGATGCGTTAGTCGGGCTGCGTAACATTCACGTGAGAAAGACCGACTTACAAAGTGGATCCAGAGCTTTCTTGATCGTGCCTGCTATGCATGCTGCTGAGCGGAGGATCTTGAACTCGAAGCCGTCGTTTGAGACGAGGGTGACGTATTCGGTAGGCTTGTCGTCTGCCATTGTGATGCACGGTATGAAATATAAGTCTGATAGCTTCTGAGTGTGGTCTGAACGCGGGGTGGTTGGATATAGCGGCGTCGAGTGGGAAGTTGTGTGAGAGACGGTGGATATCGCGGGGAAGTTGCGGAGGACAGCGCGCGCTGTCACGTTTTCTCGCGTGGGCGAACGTCGAGATGGGGGGTGGATGGCTTACATCACCCATCTACATTAGACTATACTTTTTCAATTTCTTGTAAAGCAAAGCCACTACGAAGACCAATTGAACAAAGATTCAAAACCAACGGCAATCCCCTCCCCACAGACGGATTGACCGCATTCTACAAACGCAAAGTGCCCAATTCATGACCATGGCGCACCGCCCACGACACGTCCTCATCACAGGCGGCAGCCGAGGCATCGGCCTCGCAATCGCACAACTATTCTCCAAGAACGCATACCGCTGCACCCTAATCTCACGCTCAGAACCCGATTTGAAAACTGCCGTAGCAAGCCTAACACCCCTCCCATCCACCTCATCACCAGATACACCTTCAAATCCCGAGACACATGACCCTGCAGAACCACCATCATACCAACACGGCTACATCGCAGGCGACATATCCCTAGGTTCCAACTTCTGGCACCTACACCCCTCGCGCCCTTTCATCGCTCATCTACCCAAGCCAGAGCGCACGGTGTTCTCGACACATCCTTCGCGCATCGATGTGGTTGTGAATTGTGCGGGTGTCACGCAGGCGAAGCTCTTCTCGGGATTGAACGAAGAGGATCTGGAAAGTATCATTCGGACGAATCTTACTTCTATGATGCTGGGGACGAAGTTTTTGTTACGGTATGTAAAACTCAATCGCAACTCCTACTTCTTATGTTCGTGTCGCTGTTTTAGTAGCCATGTTGTTGACTTGTTTACGTCTGGGACAGGAATGGGTATCTGAGAGGTAGGACTCAAGCTGAAGATGAGGATCCTGTCATTATCAATGTCAGTTCGCTACTGGGATTGCAAGGCGGCTATGGAGCCGTTGCGTATGCGGCGTCGAAAGCGGGTGTTTTGGGGTTTACGCGTGCTTTGGCTACAGAGTATGCGAGCCACAAAGTGCGGGTTAATGCTATTGTACCTGGATACGTGAAAACGGATATGACAAAAGGTACGCATGCCACGATGTTGTTTATTAAGACTTGCTCTAACCACGGCCAGACCTGAATGCTACTGAGCTTCAGCAACGCATCCCGTTGAATCGTTTCGGCAGACCCTCCGAAATCGCGCACGCAGCACTGTTCCTCGCAGAAAATCGATATGCACATAACTGTGTGTTGAACTTGGATGGCGGCTTATCTGCCGTCTGATTCCATTAACTTTACTACGCTGGTTGGTATTTTTCCCATTCAACTGCCATTCCGGCCTTGCAAGACGGCCCAGTGGCGTTCTCCAGATGTGCTTCCTTCCACCAGATGATCCAGGCTCAGGTATGTAACCAGTGAGTCCTCCCAAAAGACGCCCATGCCAAACGTTTCCATGCGACTGATCGGTGTATAGTACAAGAAAAAGGAAATCTATATGCCGTTTGCGCTTCGGTAGCGCGCGGTTTGTTGGACTGGTGATCGAGGTGCGGAGATGTGGTGGGATGAGTGGAATGTCAAAGACGCTTGAACGCTGATGATCCAATGGCGGGACGAGAAGAGTGAAGTATATCGAATACTCCAATAATCGTCTGTAGACAGCCAAAACGATCATGAGGTCCAAGTGAGGACGATGCGCCAAGATGTGGGCAGCAACCCAACTTTTGTTGAAGGTTTATTCAGTCGTCATCAATGACAATCGCCCCGTCCTTGTCGTCCTCAATGGTTATGTGGCCGTCGTCTTTCTTCTGCGACTCCTCCATGACCTTACCCTTCTTTCGGACGAGGTCGTCCTCCAGGCCTGCTTGGCTGGCTGTGCGCTTCGCAGCGCCGTTCGTGGTTCCGTTTGTAACACCATTGGTAACGGTGCCGTTGACAGTCGCATGACCATTGGTCTCTGGCGCAGGTGCCTTCGGTTTGGTTGGGATCTTGATCTCATCGGGTAACCTGAGCGGATTCGCGTTCTCGGTGAACTCTGTGTGTATGATGCAGAGTACTAGATCAACTTTTGCGTCTTCTTCCGAGTCGTCAGAAACCGTGAGGAAGGTGTCATTCTTCAAGTTGAGTTCCTCAAATGTCTTCTCGAGATGAATGTCTTCGTCCATGTCATAAAGTATGTCTGAGTCGCGCTTGACGCTGAACTCTTCTCCGTAGCCGAGCTTCTCCTTTAGGACCATGTTGATCAGATCGCTTAGCTTCGCGCGTGGTGTATCGACGTGCAGGGTGGCATAGCATACACCACAGGTCGCACAGTGGGGGTTCGGTGGTCGGAGTGATTCGCTTGAAATAACGCGCTCGGTGCTGCGGGTGAGGAAGACCATCTTGGCCTTGTCGAGCTGGTCGCGCATAACCTTGAAGGCTTGTAAGACGCAGAGACTGGCAGTCATGGCGTTTGTTGTCGCAATGGCAGGGATGATGTTGCCAGCCATTTCTGTAACCTGTTAGCAACTATTCCATCCATGTGTAGGCGCTTCCTTACGCTTGATGTCAAACTTGGACCGCATCTCGATGCCGAAGATGTGTGAGCGCAGATTGGCACTCGCAACCACGAAGTCCAGCGTGTCCACATCGTCCTTGTCGAAGCTGAGGATAGGTGCCGCATTGCCAACATCGGCATTTGCGCGCGTCTCTTCCAGGCGGGTGCTGAGTCGCTTGATACTGTCGACGAAGACGGCGAAGTTCTCGGCTACATTCCATGTGACTTGGTCTTGTTGCGCGATTCCCGTGCCCACACCCAGCGATTCCTGCATAAGCGCATCGTAGTCCAACGCCTCTGGCGCCCGTTTGGTCTTCCACATATCTTCCATGCTCCGTAACCGCTCAATGTCCTCTTTGAACACCTTGTCGAACACCAGTCGCGGGAAGTCTTGAGAACCCATGGAATCGCGAATGCGCTTCAGCGCTTGTGCCTCCTTCTGCAGGTTCGCGACTTCGCTTGCGTTGTCGGCATCTTCGCTGTGATCTAGTTCGGGCGCTTCGTCCTCTGAGGTGCCAAAGATTTCGGCGAACAGATACGACTTTCCCCATACTATGCAGTGGATGGGTTGCGAGGGTGTGCTTCGGATGGTGCATACGGGGAAGGACTTGGGCGCGGCTTTCGGCGTGCAGTCGTAACATTCGGTTTCGCCCTATGATACAATTAGCACAATCGTTCAGTAAAATAGTCGCATTGAGGTCGCGCACCCGCTTGATAACCTGGACCTGTCCATTGAAGCCAGTCGTGCCACTCTCGATCAACGGCACATTGGCGGCAAGGCACATCCTGTTGACATGTCGCCGCGCATCGAGGTTGTCCAGCGCATTGAAGACGAGGCCGAAGCTCTGGAACCACGCGACGTTGAACTGGCCATCCTTGATGTTGTCGTGGTACGCAACGATGCTGACGTCGGGGTTGAACTTGCCGGCCGACTCTTTCGCAACCTATGAGCTGTCAGCGCAAGGCCTTGAATTTGCTTGTAAGTGATGTTGTGCCGTACCAGTGCCTTGGACTTCTTGATGTGCTCATTGCGGAACAGGAACTGGCGGTTGAGGTTGCTGAGATCGATGGTGTCGAGGTCGACGATGTGTATCTCGCCGAAGCCGGTGAGGACGAGGTTCTTGAGGAGTTCGCAGCCAATGCCGCCAGCTCCTACCATCAAGACGCGTGACTAGAGCGCATTAGCGACTGTCTGATACCATGTTTGCGCGTGGTTGCAGCTACCTCTTTGATGCGCTGATGGAGCGTGCCACCGAGGCTCTGCCGAGCAAACTTGTCGCGTGCCATTGCGGGTTCGGGGGTGGGAGTAGGCGCGAGCGAGGTTGTGGTGCGGGCGAGGCTACGACATGCGAAAGCTGGCGAGGTGCCCGTCTCAGGTGAAGGCGACAGGTGAGAGACGTCAGTGCAGCTGGTAGCGCCGCTCCACTGGGCCTGCGCCGCTCGCGTTCAGCCTCCGAAGCTTGGCACCTAAACGAGCGCCCTATGAGTGGATCGTGGGCCTCTGAACTGCCGGGACACACTCTGGCTGCTGCTCGCTACGACAAAAAACTTGCTTGGGGACCTGGTGGAGCTTACTAACGACATATACGAGCCGCCGCAGAAGTCCCATTCATCACGACTACCGGAACCGGAGCTAGCGCACACCGTCATCCATCATCATGTCCGACGACGAAGTTGACCATGAGCTGCTAGACCTCATGCGGAAGCACTGGGGTGGTGGTGCCAAAGAGGAAGGTCCGCCAGAAACAAAAGTTCTGGAGAATGCCCAGTTCATCTGCGATAACAGCATGGATGTCGCCCTCGACATGCGCTCTACCAAGGTCGCTGCCCAACTTGTGCTTGACGAGATGGAGAAGCGCGAGTATTCCACCAAAACATGGTCAGAGCATGAGCTGCACCCCAAAGCAAAAGATGAGAGCACTGTCAATTTCATCTTCACGATGGATCTGCTCAACTTCAGCTTCTGGAGCGAGAAGAGCGACGAGGAGCGCTTCGCGGTAGTCTACAAGGGAAAGAGATGGACTGGCTACTGGAGTCTGGTTGCCATTCTACAAAGAGCGTTGGAGCAAGACATACCCATCACTAGTCCGGAATTCTGGGTCGACGAAGAATTGTGTTCGGATGAAGTACTGCGAACCGTATTCTCTTCTGGTACCGACGAGGAGATCCCCATGTTCGAGCAAAGGATGCGATGTCTAAGAGAAGCAGGCCAAATCCTAGAGGAGGTGTGTTTGTGATGCATCACCAAAACAGAAAAGCAAGTTGACTTATGACTGACGTTGCAGGAATTTGACGGTAGTGTCGTCACACTTATTGAAGACGCGAACAACTCCGCTGCCGGCCTTGTGAATCTACTCGCCGAAAAGTTCAACTGTTTCAGAGATGAAGGTAGGTTCGAGAATAAGAAGGTGCGCTTCTTGAAGCGAGCCCAAATCTTCGTGGCAGATCTGTGGGCTGCGTTCGATGGCGAGGGATATGGCGAGTTCAACGACATCGACAAGATCACAATGTTTGCAGGTAAGACATCTCTGCCTCTGGCACAATTTATATTCCAGCTGACTGATGCATCTGCAGATTACCGCATTCCTCAAATGCTACACTCACTAGGTATTATCTGGTACTGCCCGCCTCTCGAGAACAAGGTACGCCGCCTTGAGACCATCGAGTCTGGCCACTCCTGGGAGATGCAGATCCGAGGTTGTAGTATCTGGGCTGTAGAGCTTCTCCGCAAGGAGATTCTGAAGCTGAAACCGGAGGCCAAGGTCAACGCTATCCTCATCGACTTCTTCCTGTATGATCTTGCGAAGGAAAAGGAGAAGGAGGAGGCAGACGTCATACCACACCATCGGACGAGAAGCATATGGTATTGAGATCCAAGAACAGCGGTGCACATGAAACCGAATCACACATTTGGGCGCCCTATCGCTTTCTGATCGGTGGGAATTAGTAGTTGGTCACTTCGTGGACAGGTCAAAGGCGGTGGGGTCGCTTCGAGCATTCGCCACTTCCAAGTTTGCGCAACTTCCAGAGACAACGCACATCTCAGTCGTCGCATAACGGCACAACACCAACCGCTGGATTCGCTCTCATGTCTTGTCCGCGCGACAGGCTGAGGCTGAGGCATGCAACGTCTTCTTGGCACCGTTACGCCTTCCCAGTTATCGTTAGACGCCCGTGGTAAGGCTGGCCATTCAACCCCCGCAACGGCCTTACCTAACCCTGGTCTCCAGTATTCGTAGACAAATTACGATCATACTGGTGATCATTATAGCACGGATGAAGCCGCCGGTCACACATTTTCAGTAAAGCAGGGGTTTGACAACCGGGCCTATTTGCCAATTTCGGTGATTCGGGCGGGTGTTTGCACGATAGCAGCGCAACGATGAGCACGTGTGATCCACACTCTATGTCAGCAGTTCTCTTGAAATATCTAGGCACTTGGCCATCTGTCTAAGAAATTTCATTTTCGACCGACTCTCGCTTCATTCATTATTTTCATTTCGTAAGGTTCCGTTAGCGGCCTAGCTAAGGAGCAGGTGAGAGTGGTGGCTTAACTCATTCACACTTATGTACAAGTGCTCACCTGGCAAACACTCGCTTTCTTAACATTCGAACCGGAGTCCAGTTCTGCCAGCAGCAGCTCCTCTGACCAGAGCGCCTCCCACTGAACGATGGGAAACCAACAAAGTTCCGCCGTCCAGCAGTGTCTGGAGCAAGCTGTCGGAAAGGATCATGTCGCCTTCAAGAACACACCACTCTACCAGATCTCACACGTCAAGCCCTACAACCTCGGTGTTCCGGTGACACCAGCGGCGGTTACCTACCCAAAGACGGCCGACGAGGTCTCCGCGATTGTAAAATGCGCAGTCGACAATAGCCTCAAAGTTCAGCCACGATGTGGTGGACATTCATACGCCAACTACGGTATCGGAGGTCAAGACAACACCATTGTAGTCGACATGAAGAACTTCCAGCAATTCTCCATGGACAAGTCTACCTGGCAGGCCACAATCGGTGGCGGTACGCTCCTTCGCGACGTCACTGAGCGACTACACGACAACGGTAAACGCGCCATAGCCCATGGAACATGTCCACAAGTCGGAATCGGAGGTCATGCAACGATAGGTGGCCTGGGGCCGACTTCACGCATGTGGGGCTCCACTCTCGATCACGTAGAAGAGGTGGAAGTAGTCTTGGCGAATTCGACAGTAGTGCGTGCTTCCGAGAAGCAAAACCAAGATATCTTTTTCGCGACAAAAGGCGCTGCAGCCGGTTTCGGCATAGTCACAGAGTTCAAGATGCGCACGCAGGCCGAGCCCGGCGAAGCAGTCCTCTACTCGTACAACTTCCACGGCGGCTCATCTGCATCAAAGGCTGAAGCTTTCAAGCAGTGGCAGAAGCTCATATCCGACCCGACCCTTTCCAGGAAGTTCGCGAGCCAGTACATTCTCACCGAACAGCTCGGCGCCATCATCACAGGCACCTTCTTCGGCAGCCAAGCGGAATTCGACAGTCTGAACATCACATCTCGTCTCCCAACTGGTTCGGCTCTGGAATCGATAGAGCTCAAAGACTGGCTGGGTGTAGTAGGCCACTGGAGCGAAGACATCGCTTTGGAGATTGTTGGCGGAATACCATCCAACTTCTACGCGAAATCCCTTTCGTACACCGAAAAGGATATCATACCCGACGAGACCATCGACAAGTTGTTCAAGTACATCGACGAAGCAGACAAAGGCGGTGCACTCTGGTTTATCATATGGGACCTTGAGGGCGGCGCTATCAACGACGTCGCGCCTGATGCTACAGCCTACGGTCATCGTGACGCGCTGTTCTACCATCAGGCTTATGCTGTTAACCTCTTTGGCAAGGTCAGTCCCCATCTCATCTCAAATAGTCTAGCAAGCGTACTTACATCACCACAGGTGAACGACAAAACCCGCAATTTCCTCAACGGCTTGAACAACGTCGTTCTCGATGCGCTGCCCAACCACAACCAAGGAGCGTATGCGGGTTACGTAGATCCCGCGTTGGGCGAGAACAGCGCGAGTCTGTATTGGGGCGGTAACGTGGAGAGGTTGGAGCGGATTAAGGCGGAGGTTGATCCGTTGGATGTGTTTCACAATCCGCAGAGTGTAAGGCCGGCGAAGAGATAGGTGGAGAAGAGGGTGCTGTTTTGGAAAGAGGGGTGTGGCTTGGTGATATGGTACTGCCTGGCCTAGAGGCTTAGGCTCGGAACAAGTTTCTTCTTATAACAACTCTTTCGAAAATCTGTGCAACGATGTCGCGATTAGTATGGTAATCGCGTGTGATGACTTAAGTAATACCCGATTTGATTGGTTTCTTTCGTTGAACTTCTTTCCGCTAACGCTTGATATTGTACAGATACATGACTGTAGGACTGGGCCATACCACATGTGTAACCCAACATAGCGCAGTTGTGACCGGTTGTCTCATGCGCAACGAAGGACATGAACTAACCTTCAATACATATCATGGGCTATCTCGTCGATCTGTTTTCCCCTCGTCGCCTCAACTACAAAACATCTCCTATGATATATCTACTGCATTCGCTAGCCAATTACCTTCAACTCAAGATATCGGCAGCCGCTCTCGTTGCAGAAGTGGTGACTACTCAACAGTCAGCAATGCCCAAAGGACACACCCGCTTCACGATGCGTGTTGGCGACGGGGTGTCTAAGAAGCCTGTCGCACCCCATCGATGTTACCGCCGTGAAAGACTCGATCGAGAAAAGGAATTGAAGAGTAGGAACCGCTGTAACAGTCATGCTGAAGCATTGCGCAATGTGGCGAACTTTACTACTACTACTGCGTCTATTCCAGCCCGTTCTGACATGGCGAACGTTAGGGCATTGAGCGTGTCTGTGGCCATCGTCGTTACAGCTGCGCTCTTCTGGATTTTCCGGAATAGATAGATTACCGGAGCAGACGTTGAGTCGGGTCGGGTTGGGTCCTGGCAATCGTTTCGCTGTCGCGGCTGCTGGCTGTGCGTGGATCAGGCGGAGGCTGGCTCCTACATAGCTCCAGCGATGATCTTCCGAGAATTCAGTTACGTTGAGCAACAAAAGGCGCGTCTCTACTGCATCGGAAAAGAGTTATTCGCAAAACAGTCTGGATAGTCCGGATTTGGTGAACGGGCGCAATACGATTGGTGAACGGTGGCGTCGGTGCATCGGGACGCTGAAAGTGGCATCTCTACATCGATGATGCGACTGCCTACAATGTTACAATTCACGTGTTTTATTTGTCGGGGCTTCGTTTGCGATCGATGTTTTCTGCTGCAATTACAAGAGTTGTTGATGGAAATCCGTTGCTGCCTAGGGAATGTGTGACTTGTCGAGGTGGCAAGGCTTGTCTGTGCGGTCATGCACTAAAGATTTTCGTCCCCAGCGCCGATGGACCCTTGCTTAATTTCCACTACTCCTTCCATCGATATCATCAGAATCAAGTGCCGAGCTCACCTACATTGAGCGTATCTCTCCCCAAACTCCCAATTCCAGGCAATTGGTCATGGGCCGTTCGTTTATATGTTGACGTTGCGCCGGTACGCACCGTGTGGCGCGTGTCCTGTGGTCCAATCAGGATGTCGCGTACCAAACAGAGCACTTTGCTAACATACTCCAGTCGTTCCGTAGTATAGGCTGCGTGCTTCTGTCATGATGCCGCGGAAACCTTTCCTGGGATTGAGGCGTTTTCGTCGTCATCTAACTCTAAAGCTGTTTGGCCGCCCCGACACATTCACAAACCATCTGAGGGTTTTCTTAGGCTACGATCGTCGGCCAGAAAACATGCAGAAAATTGGAAGGTTATTATCGGGGGGACGCAGCCCGCTACCTGAACATTTTGGTCGAAAAGCTCGTATACCCGACCTTTTTGATCGGAGAGATCAAGTTTACCTGGCGCTTGAGGCCCAGCGGTTGCATTGGCATATGCCCCCACCGTACGCCTATCATGATCTGCTTGACGCTGCAGCGAGAGTGGGCCGTATTGAAGGGATTATGGGCTACAAGTTCAAAGATAAGATGATTTGCATCGAAGCGCTCAAGACCACATCGGCGACTACACCGCTTTATTTCAATGGGGTCGTTCATCACATAGACAAAAACAACCGCCTGGCATTGCTAGGTGATCGAGTTATCTCTTTAGCTCTATGCGATGTTTGGTTCAAGACAGGAAATACCAATGGTATGTACTGCATATAGCTCTGGTGCTTAAGCTAATACAGCGAATAGCGGAATACACTTCGATGCAGCCGGATATAGAAAGCAGAGTTGGTTTGGGTAAGAAAGGATACGCGCTCGGTATAAACGACAATCTGCTTCTTCACGATCGGCACCCCTACACATTTAATCATGTTGCCGAGGCCTTCGAAGCTGTTCTTGGTGCTATCTACTTGGACTCTGGGAACAACATCGAAACCGTCAAGGAAGTTATCACCGGAATCAAGCTCGATCGTCACAAGGGGTTAGAAGAGCAGATTACGGCCCAGGATCGTCTGGACAGTAAAAGACTTGCGGCGCTACAGTACTCTGATTATATGAGGAACCAAGCTGCGTACACTAAAAAAGCCCAGCTGGAGCATGATGCAGCACTGGCAGCGAAAGAAGCAGCAAAACTGGCGGAAAAACAGGTGGCAGATCAGCCTAGAGAGGAGGCGCAAGAAGACAATATGTCCACCAAAAGTCAAATACACGATGGACACTCGGGAACAGTTCAGCCTCAAACTAAGAAGAAGAGCAGCGTTGCGCTCACACATGCGGAGGCCTCGAAAAATCTAGCCGATTCCGTGATCGAATATCGCACGAATGGTCACCCGAGTGACGCAAAGGATCTTGGCCGACTTGCTAGACAAGACGCGCAACGCCAAAGTCCAGCCTCGAAGGAAAAAGCACCATCACAGAATTCCAATCAGGGATCAGATTCAAAACTGCAACGACGCGCGGTCGTAGCTGCCAACAAGCTATCGAAAGAAGGCTACCTATCAAATGATGTCTTGGAACACGATGACAAGAAAACAGTCTCTAAACTCCAAGGTCTGCCAACATCTCACGTCGAGAACCAGGACAAGGTAGTCACCCGAGGCACCAAACTATCGCCGGAGGAAGAAGCAGATGAGTTTGTCGCATCGATGAAGTTTCCAGCAGAAATAGAATCATCTGAGGGCTTGAAAAGCAGTGAGAAACGCATCCTGAGAATATCATGGGACATGGCGGTACGCAAATGCGCCGACAGCATCAGAATAAGCGAGGAGAGAGACTTTGAGGGAACGTTTGCGCATAGGTTGAAGCGAATGGTACGGTACCAGGTAAATGCTGGTTTAGTGAAAAACGAAACGAAAGAAACGATTAGGCTTCTCCGCCTGTCAGCAAGGCTTCGAGGCCACAGCTGGGGAGAAAAACAGGAGAAGACATATCGCAAGACCAATTCAAAGGTTCCAATCAAACCTAGTCGAGAGACAACACAGGCACCGGTGAGTGTTTCACCAGAGCCGAAAGCTGCGACGGCAACGAAAGCAAATCCTACACCACAAGAGACAGATCCTGCACTGGAGATAATAGGCACTGTACAAGAGAAAGCAGAGCCTCTACTAGAGACTGGTATGAACAACGATAAGCCAGTCCAAAGACGCTCAGACTCGCCGAAGGAATCCCATCTTGCAGACGCAGCCACCACAGAGATGGAAGATGAAAAGAACATACAAGTGCGCACTAAGGATGTTGAATCACTAGAAAGAGATATTCTCAACTCGCATAACACCGTATGGCAAACGGCCGATACTGCAGATGCGTCAACATCAGAGCAGCACAGCGGACGCACAACTCGTGCACGCCGTTCTGCTGCGGATGGCCAGGCGGAGAAGCCATCTGATCTAAACGAGTTCTTCGAATCGGACACGGACAGGTTCATGTCTACTATCACGCAAAATGATTCAGAAGCGTCCGACGCCCCTCAACCGAAACCTCATGAGGAATCTGATATGCAGTCTTCGGAATCTTCTAAGGAGCAAGGAGAATCTTCCGCCCCATCTGCAAGGATAACAAAACAAAAACGTCCCAACCGAGCCACGCGTCGTCGATCACAACATTCATGATTGCTTTTGCTCCTGGCTACAGGTACGCCAGCTGCTTGTCTATTACCGTATATGCGTCGATGCATGTGTACAATATAGTTCGAATGTATGATAACTCAGCGAGAGATGCCTTTACAGTTGTACATCCAAGTCTAGAAGAGTACGTGTAACATATTTGTCGCAATATCGAGATACAGAATGCGAATCTGCATTTACCCGCTTCCAGAGCCATTGACGTCTGCTTTTGAGGTCTTGCAGCCTGGCAAAGGCATCTATCTTGACCAACTTCACAGGAAATTAACGATTAGTGAACTACTGAACATGTCGCCAAGTATCAATACGAGTTGTTGTCGTCGGTTAAGTTGGCATCGCGTCTGTGCATTAGGCGGCAACGTCGAATGTGCTAACCTCTTCTCTACCAGCGGCACAGCGAGATGTCTACTCAAGTACCATGTTCCTCGCTCCAACCCTCAACGCAAGGAGTTGGCAGGAGTCGATTTCAACATGGCATCCCACAAGCGCCCACGACTTCCACCCACCCAATTAGCCGCCATAATGAACGACTATTACACCTTTTTGACCACTCTCTACATACCATGTTCAGCTTTGAAACATCCGCCTCGGGGTGGTTGGCCGAACATTACTGCGGAGGCGATAAAGTGTCTGGACAAATCGCATGTTGTCATTGAGGTCATGAAGCATTTACCATACATTGATGAGGCTGAGGCCGGCGAGATGATCACGAACATTCACTACAAGAGCGACGTGGTAGATTACTCTACATACACGGGAGAGGACTTCGAGAGATATGATGTGTCGTATGGAGAAGACGGACTCAAGGTTTGCATTGAAGAGATGGAGGAGCGGAGAAGAGAAGAAGAAGAGCAGCAGGAGCAGGATGACGAGGAGAACAACGACATGAGAGAAGAGGAAGAGAACATCGACACGAATGAAGATCAAGAGAACAACGACACAATGGAAGATGAGAAGAACAGCACCAACGGGAATGAAGAGGACAGCGAAGACGAAGCAACCAATAACGACGACGAGAACGCACCGCATGACGAAGGTTACTCTTCCGACGAAGAAGAAGACTACGGCGACGACCCCGACTCCATCGACATAAAAGACATCCTCCTCCTATCCATGGGCTACGAATCCGGCGGCCGAATCCTCCTCCTCGACGTACACAAAGGCATCATCCACGAAGACGTAGTCCGCTGCCAACTCGTCTCTGGCGTATGGATAGAAGACTTCTTCGACGATATGAAGGACAAGCTCCGAAGGCTGGATTGCGTACCCGTAAGAGGCGAGTTCTACGAGGGCGTGCCTGAGGTGGAGGATGTTGGACCGGTGCCTGAAACGGCGGATCCGTCGATGGAAGGGCATGACGAGGAGCATGTGAAGGTATACAAGAGGATTTATCGCAAGTTTGGGTGGCCGGGGGAGGGGTATAGGAAGGATGAGGCGTTGGAGGCGGTGGAGAAGTATCGGGTGAGTGCTTGGGGTTGTTGATGCGGAGGTTGTGGTGGAGAATGGAGTTGATGGAATGAATTGAAACAAGATATCATAAACGAGTTATCCTAGCTCCGCATAACCGTAGCCGTTGCACTTATTACGGTAGCAACGGCGGTGATAACATAACGCCACGCATTAGTCCTTGCCCATGTCTCAGCAATGGTCTTCATATCCACTTTCTCAGCCCACTTCTTCGCGACCTCACTCGCCGTATCTTTATCTGTACCCTGCCCAACACCCTTCAAAACAACTCCCTCATCGCGCAATATTTCTTGAGCCTTCCACTTTCCCGCGCCATTCACTCCAGGCTCCATGTACAGGGCTGTGTACGGGATGATACTAGCATTTACAAGTCCTGCAACAGCGTACAGAAGCCTTGCGGAAGAAGATTGATCATTGCAAAGGTAAGCAAGGAGAACGTTGGTTGAAGCGCCGGATAAGATGAGAGGCGCGACGAAGACAGGTGCGAATTGGTAGGCTTGAAGCCATTGCTTTGCTAGGAGTTTTGGTGGGGCGTGCGTGATGAGGGGTGGCATGACGACATGACTGTATGCGAAAGTGAAGCCTACCAGACATAATCGTCAGTGGCTGTTTTGAACGATTTTGAGGCTAATATACCTGTGTATATGGCCGGGGCGATGGTAGCGATCGCTTGCAAGATGGGCACGACGAGGCTAGATGGACCGCTCATTGTGGATAGTTACAAGGTGATGGGTCCTGGTATGCGGTAGAAGCAGAACTTGGTTTGCAGGGTAATGTAGAAGCTGTCCGAAGTAATCTGTTCACGAGGCGTAGATATAGGCGCTTGGGGTACAGGGCTGACGTACTAGTGCGGTGTTTGGGATGCATCAGCATGCCTTAGCTGCATATTCTGGAACAACAGTAGAACGAACGAGATCTTCCAAGATCTACATGGGCTGAAGCACGTATTTATAGCATCGATATGATCTGCACCTGGGCTCTTGTGCAACGACGATCATGTCGTTTTGCGCAGCCCTGTTGTGAAATCAGATAAGCCTTACTTGTACAGGTATACTACAACTGATCCAGCAATCCCAAGACCTCTTGCCTGAGTTCACCCAAACCAACATACTTCTTGAACCCTAACCTCCGGCATTGTACCTCTACTTCTCTCCTGTCTGTCCAGCCTCTGCCTAACACAACGACGACAGGATATCCAATCAATTCCGCATCCTTCAATTTCCAACCTAGGCTCTTTGCTACTCGATCATCCAACACTAGATCCACATCTCCATACCGACCTTCACCGTAGATCGCGTCGTACACTTCTGCCGCGTCGCTCTCATCAACCTTTGGAGATGTGAGGATGACGGCTTCATAGGGTGCTATCACCCTTGGCCAGTTCAGCCCTTGAGCGTCTGAGAGCAGTGATGCGACAGCTCCGATGATGCGCGAAACGCCGATACCATGGCAGCCCATTTGTATTGGAGAGGAGAGGTTTTGGTCTGGCAAGGCAACGACTGCGTTGAGGGGCTTGCTGTACCGGGTGCCGAGGTGGAAGGTGTGGCCTACTTCGATGGCTTTCTGGACGTCGAGTTTTCCGTCCGAGCAGCGAGGACATGGATCGCCAGTTCCGACGGGCGTGAGATTTAGTTTGGAAGACAGAGGATTTGAGAGAGACCTATCGTTCTTATCAAAGGCAAGGGAGGGGTCGAAGAGGTCGATGGTATCTCTGCCCTTTCGGAGCAGAGAAGCGAGTGATGAGGATTCGATACCGGTGTCCAGCTCGATCTCCTCTGGAAGTGCTTTCTTGACAGCGTGAAGATTGACATGCTCATGTCTCTGTCTTACATCCGTCTCAGTTTCGGATGGACGTGGTATCCACACATTGATCTTTGTCTTCTTGTCGACGCTTATACCTGTGTACGCCAACCAGCTGTCGGTACATGACGCTACAGCTTGGCCGCTCTTTTCCACAAGCTCCTCGTTGGCGACGTAGTCGCATGAGTTGCAAGACCACACGTTGTCCTCGCCCTTTGGAGATACAAAATGATACTCGTGGCTCAGTTTGCCTCCCATGTTACCAGAATCGGCATCGGCGACTAGGTATGGCAGCCGAAGCTCATTGAACAGATTGTTATATGCTTCCCGTACTTCTTCGTAAGTCTTGAGCGCGGCTTCTGTTGAGTGGTCGAATGTGTAAAGATCCTTCATCATGAACTCCTTGGCCCGTAAGAGTCCTTGTCTTGGTCTTCGTTCGTCGCGATACTTTCTTCCGATCTGATACAGCCTCTGTGGCAGATCTTTGTATGAATGTATCATGCTGGCTATAAGTGCTGTGATCTCTTCTTCGTGAGTTGGCGATAACAGAAAGCCAGATTCTCTCCTATCTTTGATGCGCAGGAGTTCCGAGTTCGCGGAGTAGCGACCAGACTGCCTCCATAACAATTCTGTAGTGATGGAAGAGAGCGAAAGTTTTGAAGCACCAATCGAGCTCATGTGCTTGTCAATTAGCGCTTCAAGCTTATTCTGAACGCGTAAACCTAGGGGTAGAAGATGAAAGACTCCCGAATGTGCCTGCGCATGATGAGACAAGTGCTAAAAGTCAAGAGGTTGTAGATGTATACCTGACGGAGAAAGCCACCTCTAACGAGAAGAGAGTGAGACTCATCTGAAGAGTCGTTAGTCAATGTATGCTAGTCGCTCCGATGATCCTCACCTTGCTCGCCGTCCTGGGGTGATATACCACCGGTTGGTGCCCAGAATTTGGATAATCGATTTCTTGAGTCGGTCTAAGCCAATCATCAGCGTTGCCATCTAAATCACGAACTTTATTGGGACAGCTTACAGCTATATATCTAGCATGTCGAAAGCCTTGTATTGGTGTTCGCTGGGTTCGCGATTGCCATGCAGCTCTACGAATATACGCCGCCATGCGCGCACCACAATGACGATGTTCGATCAACTTCAAACAAAGAGCTCGGAGTCACACTGTAGATTTTAAGACGGAAAGGAAAGAGTGGAAATGTTGCATGTTCCGTAAGTGGTGCACAACAGCGGGAGATCTGCCTCCAACATGACGAGCACAGACCACCTCGAATCCCAAAGCGCATGGAAATATTTGGAGATCGAACCCACCTCTCAATTGCTCTACGACCACAACTCACGTAAGCATAGCGATTCCTATACTGAGACAGTATATCTTGGGAAGATACTAATCGACATACAGCATGCCTCCACGGATACGCATCAGGCCACGCGCCCTCCGCGCCTGCACCTCGAACCCAACCCACCCCATCTCTCTACCCGCAATCGCGACCTACGCCACAGTAGCAGCGACCACCCCCGCGCCCCCAATCCAGCAGACATACAAAGCCGCACCACCAGTACTACGATACCCACCCACGCAACCACCCTCTCACAAGCCGCCGGAGGTCCGCAAAACCCAACTCCACCGCCAATACCAATCGCTGCTCCGATCCTCGCCTCTGATCCTGATATTCCAACACAACAATGTCAAAGCAGTAGAATGGATGAGCATA